AGATTTAAAAGTAATCTAGGTTGGGATAACTCAGTCGGTAGAGCACCAGACACTCTTAATCTGAAAGTCCAGGGTTCGAGCCCCCTGTTTGGGTGAAAAAAAAAAAAAAAAAAAAGATTTAAAAGTAATCTAAAACTTGATAGATAATTTGACGAGTTTACTCGACTTACTATGACTAATTAAGCAGTGATGTAACTGCCAAAGTAATAGCTAAAGCAAAATATCTAGTACGACTAAGAAATCAATAATTTTGGGTATTTTGTATTAATAAATATGAAACTTACATTTAGATTCGCTTGCTGTAAACGCGGGAGCTAGTAACGCAGATGAAAGATCGAAACTTATCGATCGTATAGAATCCAAAAGCTTGTGTTGACACCAATAAAGTATTTTTAGATTAAGATCATAAAAGTTAATGTGCCCGTCTGAGGATCCTGTTACTATCATCCTAAAATTTTGCACACGTTAGGAAAATTTCCTTATTGTTACAATAATATAAGAATACTCAGGAAAGTAAGAAGACTCTATTTGTAAAACTATGCTATGACAATAATTTTTTAAATTTTACGTTTTGTTGAAAAGTACATAGATATACATACTTGCGTATAAAACAGATATTTGTCAGAAACAATAAATTCTTAATCAGGAATGAAAAGAATTATTGGCATTATTTGTCCTTAATATTGGAAATTGTTAGATACCTATTGTGATGTAATATCACCATAATACTGCTGTTCATCAACTGCACAGACTTGACGTGTTCCCTATTGTTAATCGTGAGTTGATTTTTACTTTTATTCTGACTTCTTTCAGCAGAAATGTCCCAAACCAGAACATATCCTGTGCATAAAAATTGAAATTAAATTTTTACAATACAGTCAAATTTGAAGTGCATTCCAATAACTTTACAGCTATAAACAATAAAAGAGATAAAAATACCGTTTGTTGTTGCTGTTAATACCCGCTGTGTTTTACTAATATAACAAGAGCAATTGAAGATTCCATATCGTCGTACGTTGCCCAAGATTTGTGGTATGTAGTATTTTAATTCATCTTGTTCCTAATTCATGAAAATTGTTAACACATCTGGATATATTCATCTCGTTGTTATATTATATCGAATTATGTATTTCAATTTATCGAAAATTCTTTGTTATAAAAATAAGAATGTGTGTACATAGAAAAAGAATTTGTGTACTTTGATTTATTGCCTAGATATGTTATATGATTTATTGCTTAGATACATTACACTAACCCACTTAAAGAATGCAACACTGTAATCGGCAGTTAAAACGAATTCCTTGGGATGATCTTCATTGAAAGTTATTTCCTTTACTTTACTTGAGCCAAGTTCAGTTAACTCTACATAAGCTAAAAGCAAATAGCTTCTTAGGTTTAATATAAGACTTTCAGCAAACTTTAGATGTTGACATACAATTTAGTTTAAGCAAAAATGAATAATAAAAATTTTGACATTAATATTAAGTTAGTATAATACAGTAGGTAAGTAGAAGCCAAATAGAACCAATAAACGATAGATATATGTAATTAACCATTAGGTTGATCTTTCCCATATGTCCACAACCAAAAATGAACCTTTTGATGAAATTCATTTCCAACAGTTACTATGTACTTAGCATTTGGGCTAATCTTAGCAGCAGTCATTTTTTTGTCACCATGTGGATTGAATAAAGTAGAGATTGGTATACTGGAACATAATAATGTTATGTTGCATTTGATTTTTGTTTGTGGATTGAATAAAGTAGAGATTGGTATACCGGAACATAATAATGTTATGTTGCATTTAATTTTTATTTGTTTCTAATATATTTAATATATTCGAATTTCGCTTTTTATACGAAAATGTAATCATGGCAAATATAATCTCATTTATACAATCACTTTGAAATATTAAGGATCGGATCTTATAATCAATGTTTCATAATAGAAACCAAGTAAAAAATAGAGAGACGTGAAAAGATACATTTTCCACTTGAAGTTGAGAAAAGTGTCTCAAATTTCTCTATTACTTATTGCAGTCAATTATATTAAAAATTGACAAAAGCTTCTTTGTATTTCCAGAAATTACCCAGTTTCGGTATCCCAAACAACAACTACACAATCATCTTCAA